TCCACAGAAGATCCATCCTCCAACATTGGCAATATATCTTCTTCACAAATGTCTTCATAATTAGATGATGCTTGCCTCATTAAATTATGTATGACATTTGATCTGAAGAGGGTCCGGAAAACTCTTGCAGTAGGGTTCACATTTGAACCTCCTTTCTGCCTATAAATTGCAAATAAATTCTCCAAAACATCTTGACTTAGCTTGGATGTCAAGATGAAGAGAGCAATTGTATGGTTTGTTTCCACTAAAAGATTTGCTGTTGAGACAGTCAAATATTTTATCCATGCGATCTGTGAACAGAATAGTATGTTTCACTATATGGGTTACCTAGTAGCATATATATTCATTCTTAATAGCAATAGATGAGTTACATGGAAAGTATACCTAAAATATTTATTTGTTTTACCAGGCAGAATACCACAAAATTTAATGCCGCGGTTGGTATTTCATTGCCGAGGCATAGCCGAGGCTACAAAAACCAGCCAAGGCATTGAGTCTTCTTTTCTGCCATGTCATTGTGAAACATAATTTTTTTTCCAAATGTTATGAAACCAATTTTATGTAGCATTTTTATTGAAAACTCCCATCATTTTGTGTTCCAATGTCAAGTTTTAGAAATAGAATACCTAGCATTTAGTAGCAGTTAATTTCTTCTTCAACGTTTGACCTATCCTAAAGTGCAAAAAATAGTATATACACCTCAGCACAAAATATTGTTTTTGAATCCTTGACAAATTATACCCCTCCCTCTGGAGCTTTAAACTTTTTGTGTCAGGATTTGAAATACCACTTCAGTCCCTAGATGTATAATGTACTATTAATGCCTGTTAAGGGTCATTAAAATTCAGAATGCCACCCTTAATGTAATTTGGAGAAAAATAAATATTTTTCATGGTGAATTTAATAGAGATATTGAGTGAAAACCTTGGTGAAAACTGATATTTTTGTTAAATTTCAACATTCTGTATCTCAGGAATAAAATGGTGGCAGACCCATATGTATATGAAAGATTCTTTTAAAAATCATCAAATTATTATACATATAAGCATTCAATTATTTTGTGACAATTCCTTAAGAATAAAATTTTATATTGTGTGAAAGAGTTCTGGCCAGAAATGAAATATTATTTTTGCCACTGATAAAAAGCAAAATCCTACTTTGAATCAAAATTCAATCTTTGAGTTTACACTTTACATTGAAGAAGATTCAGATTGTTGATTAAAAATTATTATAGCTGGTAATGGTTATTTCATCCAAAATCAACACCCATGAAAACACAAAAAAATTAAAAACTCACCTAAGAAATCAGCTGTAGATTCTGCAGATGTTGTCTGCAACTGTTTTGTTTCTATACAAGTTCTGATGGCACTAGATACACTATGGCTTAGAACTTGGACAGCAAGTTTTACATTCATTTTTTGGAAGTTTGTAGGGTAAATGTGTTTGTCTGTCAACTTGACCAAGGCTCTGCATTTTTTATTTCTGTCCAGGTCATAGACTTTCTTGATGTCATCAAATGATATTAATTTATTGTTATGAAGAAAGTTCCCATTCAAAAGGTTATTCCTATAATTTTTTATCAGATGTAGAGAGTCATATAATGCTATAATTCTTTTTTCTCCATGGTCTGTTTGGATATCAAAGTGAGGCTTGTCTTTTGATACTCCAAGAAGTTTATAGCATTTTTGATTTGATGTTCCTTGATCACATACCACAGCTTTTGGATCTAAACCACTTGAAAAGCATTTTTTTATCAATGTAGATGATAATTCTCTGATATTTTCACCAGGCATCCCTGAATGTGTGAAAAAATATGCCAGAGGCAGTTTCCAAGAGCTTAACATGCCCCTTGCCATGAAAACTAAAACATACTTAGCCTTTCTGTTTGTCCGTCCCAGGCTCCCCATATCCTCATACCCTTCAATGAAGTCCATAGCTGGAGAGTATTCTAAATATTGCTTTATGCACATTTCATCAAAAGATATAACACATTTTTTTTCATCATTTGTCATACTCTCAGATTTTAAATTTATCTGGCTGAAAAATTTTGCATTGAATCCAGTAGCAAATTTGGACTGTCCTATCCATGCCCTCACAATACTTATACTAGGAAGAACAATTTTCTGCCTCAAATATTTATAGGCACTTGGTGACTTATAATAAAGTAAGATGGCAAATTTCTTTTCATCAGCATGCCACTTTCGTTTTTTCTGTTTTAACTGCATTTTAACTATGGTTCTAGACCAGTGCATTAAAAACTGATGATTTTCTAACTGTAGATTCAAAGGAAGGAGCAGTTTTATCCTAGATACAGTTTTTTTCAGTTTATAGATATGAGAACGCTGATTAGAAATGATATGAGATTTCTGTTTCAACTTCTCATTCAACATAGCTATTTGTTCAGCTTGTTTTTGAATAATTCCTTCCTTGGATTTCTTGGCTTTTTTTGATGGTGATGGTAATGAAGGCATATCAATCAGATTTTCAATCCAGCTGCCAGATGAAGATGATGAACTGAGATTTTCAACTGATTCTAATATTTTCCTCTTTGATGCTCTCTTTTCATTTATTCCATATGTTTTTGATGGAAGACTACTGATGAGGTCTGAGGATTCTTGGCTGCAGTTTTTATAGCTCTTGGGAACAACAGATGACTTTAGTCGTTTCTTGTCCACAAGATTAATATAATCTTCATCACAAAAATGGTGCTCGCATACCACACGTTTCTGAAGATCAGAAAAGTCCAGATCATCCAAAAGGATATTTCCTGAAAGAACAGATTTTAAATAAAAATCGAGGACCTGTAAGAACAATAGGATTTGACAATTGCAAATTTAGAATTTATTTATAGAGGTTCGCCACTTATGGACACATAATCAGTGGTATTTGCTGAAATTTGATGTCTAAACTTCACTCATACTCTAAAAACAGTTGAAAATGCAAGAACCTTAAATGACAGTTTCCTCACCTGAGCTGATAATCCATTTCTTGGCTCTTACTGGATCCTTGGGAAAATAAAACATTTTCAAATTCGTCACTTTTCTACGTGTCCTATCACAGTTTATAAACGCACACACATTTCCAGACATTATAAAACTGATAACTACCTACTGCACACTATTGTACACAGAATTAAATATTTGGAATGGGTACTTTAGGTTCACGAATGAAATTGGAAGACAGTATAGGAATTATTCACTAAATCACACGAGAAAAAAGCCAAAGCCGACGTATCGAATACACAGACAAGACAAAATAATCTACGAACAGTACGAACAATTGAACATAACCTCAACCAAAGCAAGCGTAGCTGTAAAAACTCGCAGCTGGCTTTTCAACCACTTCCAACTTCAGTTGAGAAAAGTCAACCAATCAGAGTCAAGGAGTTATCGAGACTAGTGACATATCGAATTCAAATCCTAAACCTCGAAATATTTATGGCCATTTTCAGTACAGGAAAAGTATATCTTAGTGGGTAACTTATCTCTGCCATGGCTTAAGGGAAATCACATGCATGATCCTTACATCGAAAAAACATATTTAGATTCAATTATTCAAAGTTTTTTCATGTTATTCTGTGAACCTATCATGGTTTGATACAAGTCAGTAAGGTGATGATACTGAATTTCAAATAGAACTGCTTCAAAACTGCAATTGATTTTTGGCGCTTATGCCATTTTGTCACTTTGCAGATGAACATGTCTAGAAGCAAACAAATTCTGTTGATGGCGTCGAAAGAATGGTTTTGAACTGCAATGATGTCTCAATTGACGCTTCAAAATGTGATAACGTTTCGAATGACAATGTTACATCAGGAGATTTGCGTTTTTTTTTCATTGCATTCCCTTGTGGTCACAGCACCACTCTGCATCCAGCACCCTATATGTCGAACCTTGTACGCGGTTAGGGAAGCATACATTTACAAACATCCATGGCCTAGCTGGAGCACGAACTCATGCCCCGGTGGGAGTCCCAATACGAACTCAGCGCCTTTGAGCTCTCGACCACTGGGCTGCCAATTTAATATTATAATAAATATAATTGTGTCTTTGAATATAATTATCTTCTTAAGATCTCTCCACCCTTATATTAGGTACCCATTAAGTTTCACAGTCTTGAAAACGGAATTTTTCAATACTTTCACAGTTTCAAGAAATGAAATTTCCAAGGATGATGGCATTTTCAAAATAGAAATGATTGAATATTTTGTACCACCATAGTGGCATAAACGACACACACGAGAAATTACTCATCAATTTCAATTTGACATATCAACTGTATAACCGCCAATTCGACCAGATCCTTGAATGTTCAATGACACAAACGGCAGTGTTACTTTTGGCATAAACACATTCTACTTGTGTGGAGTGGCACAAACGCCATTTTTTCAATTTATAATTGATTGTATGAAGAGGAGAATCAGAGTCTCCATCAGACATTCAACAAAAATAATGAAAAAAATCAATCTTTCATTTAAGACATCAAGCAGATTTTTGTGGCAATTACGAAAGAAGTTAATCAGTTTTTTAAACAAAGGGTAAGGTTGTGTGTACTTTGTAATATTCAAAATATTAACAAACGAAGGCTTTAGTACACAGTCTTCATTACAAGCAAATTCAGAAATTCAGAAATTACTCCTTATGATGGCTTGTAGCCGAAAACGTTTGAGAATTTGCTTGTAATAAAGACTGTGTACTAAAGCCTTCGTTTGTTAATATTTTGAATCTGTTTTTTGTCTCTCCTGTAAAGTTGACTCGATGGCATTTGTGCCGTTTTGGCATGAACGCGTCGATATTTTGATAGACAGTTAACAACTAACAACTACACATATCATCACATCGGTGACCATATACAGGGCGTTAGGTTGTAGAGCATGAACCTCCAACAAATACTACCTTACTACTAATACATCACAATATCCCTCCTCACAAATTCAAACGTACTGTTGTTGAGTTGAATAGTTGTTTTTTTTTTAGATTACTAGTACACAAGTCCTCCAGTCATTTATCGACAGGATCAATGAAGTGAACCCTTCATTGAACTGTGTGGTGGCCCATCGATTCGAGGAAGCTAAGAAAGAGGCACGGAAAGTCGACGAACTCATCGAATCCGGGCTTGTACCTGAAGAAAAGCTTGCCAAAGACAAACCCTTCTTAGGAGTTCCATTTTCCACGAAAGACTGCATTCCAATCAAAGGTTAGTTTTTGGAGATTTCCTAAATGCCTCCCAAATAACGGGAAATAGTTTTTCATTTCCTAATGGTCTATCGTATTATCCCCTATTCTGGTATGAACAGGTCTGTGTCTTGAGCCAGGTTTAACAATATGTGAGTGATTATTTCACTCATTTTAAAATACACGTTTTTGTTTGGACATTGTTTTCCTTTTTGTAATTCATTTCCAAAAATAGAACAAAATGACTTACTAGCAGTAGGCTGTCATGAATGATAATATTTTCATGTTCAGGAATAGATAATACTCAACGCTAAACTTCAGTCAAAATCGTAATAGGCACTAGCTTTCAATTCCTATTGAAGAATTTCAGACCAACTTTGTATGATTCAGCAAGCTATATTCTTCGATGTATCGTTAGGTGCATAACGCAACGACTGCAAATTAAAATGAAACTTGAAATATCGTTTTATTCATGTAATAACAAGTGGAATAATCTTAACAAATACAACTTGTTTCATTGATAATCATCGAAAATTCCTTCTCTTTTTCCAAGCAACATAATTTAATATTCATCAATACACTTGTTGGATAACATACTAATAGTATATTTAGATAGAACAAATTCCATTCTCTCTCCATATCAGTTGTTTCCGAAACTACCGAATCGCACATAGTGTGTGAATATTTCAAAATGGCCACTATACACAGACATTTATTTCTGCCCGGTTGTTGGTTCAGCCAATAACAATTCCAAATCCAGGATATGGTATTTTCAGTTCTAATACCACTAGAGGTTAAATGTTTACTCTTCCTCCACTCGGAATAGTTTTCAAAATATTCGTAAGCGAGAAAAAATTACCGGAAAATGATATAACTTCGTGTGGTATTGTTAGATAATTTCACACCAGAATGTGTTTGGAAATTGAATAATTTCAGAATTTATTTATTTGATTTTCATATAAGTTCATGAACAAATTCAGTTTGGGTCGCAGTTCCGGCAACAATAAAATATTCCTAGATTACAAATTCCTAATTTCTATGCCTTGCATGTTTTCAAGAACTCTAGATAAAAATGGAGCTCTCATCTTTGGGGGCAATTATTTCTATGCTAAGCATGACAATAAACGTAAGACACAATATCCATGTGAGCAAAATTATGCAATCAGAATATGGATACAAACCTGAGAAATCAAAAACTTTGACACCTCAGCAGAAGAATTTTTATCTACTATTCGTCAGATGAAATCTTGTTCACAAAGGTCAGTATACAAGTCATATATCATGTATCCTATGGACTGGACGCACATCTACAACCAATATAACTCATACGTGTCTCGTTGGTTGCGTTCAGTTGCATAGTATTATGTATTATGTTCTCAATCCCCATTCCTTTCGAATTATTTTGTAGGTTGGAAGGTAGGTTTATCTAATTTTCGTAATCATGAGATCTTCTCGAGGAGAGGAATTATGAGTTCGTAGAAAAATAATAGTATGTAACGCGTTTATAAACTCTTCTAGACACTCGCTCCGCGCTGCTGCGATCGTGCTTAAAATACTCGTTACTAAAATGACGTTTATAAAACTTGTTATGTAATATACATTTCCATTCGTGGTCTCCAAGGTCATCAGATGACGTAGGAATGACAATGAAAACTACGGGAAAACATCCCCATCCCTGGCAAAGATTGAAAGTTAGACTTGGGTTCCCGTAGTTTTTAATGTCATCAGAAGACATCTAAGGACCTTGGCGATCGCGAGTGTCGGATTCTTAACGACTAAAACAACCACTCTGTATAGGAAGGAAACGTCCTCCTGGAACCACCTTGCGTTATTGATTCGGGATGGACTCCTATTTCTGCAGATATTGGGACTATTCTCTGTTTTGTCTTGTCTGGCTTATTTTGTTCCAGAATTCTTCTTTGTGTAGCATTTCCATACCTATGTTTTCTGGAGTTACTCGCCATATTTATCTCTTTCAAGTTTTCTCTTTGTTCCGTCCATCTTGTACATTCGAAAAACGTGTGTTCTGCTGTATCGCACATGTCGCAGAATATGCACTCAACGGAGTCGCTCATTCCGAATCTGTGCAGGTATGCCTTATGGGTTGTTTCTATTGGAATAAGTTTGAAATGGATTTGGGTTTCAAACAACATATTTTCTCGGCAACCGTTCGGGAAGTGCTCACTTCCCGGACGCTTTTTGTTTGAGAAAGTTGTTACACTTCGTTCATGACGTTACGAAAATACTGCAGAAAACAGAGCTATGCATTATTGTTTACCTACTTTTCACTCTCTTTTTCATTGGTTCATAATTGAATTCATCTGTGATGTTTACTACTGGCTATCGATTGGTATTTCTCTGTTCGTTGTTATTGATTCTAACTCAATTTTTGCTGTAAATAAGGAATTATATTGTGATTTTTAGCCTACTAGTTATCGTTATTGCATACCTCTTGGTCAGAATGTTTTGTTTACAAATTTTGGTAGGTAGGTAGTTGGTTCCTGGAATTGTCGCACATGACTGATTCAGTCCACAGGTATTTCGCCAAATTTCATCTTGAATTTCGAGTATCATTCTTGTAATTATTGTTGCCGTTATATTTCCAAATAAATATCATTGTTATGTAATTATTGTAATTATTGAAAATGTCACTGTCAGCTTGATGACGTTTAGTCTCTATTGACGGTAATGACACTAATGACGGATGACCACTATTTGCGAACCTCTGCATGCATCTTCTCGAATTTTCAACATTGTCATCATGGAACATTGACCCATAGTTCCCTTGCTATCATCACGAATACGGGCTCTAACGGCTCACAATCAGCACCATATCTCGTTATGATGATTTGGCACTCTGTATCTTCGCCATTAAGTACCTGTTTGTTGATTTGGCACTAATTCCTTGTAAGTATGGGCGTTATGGGTTATGTTACATGGTGATAAAGGGTCATCGCACGGGAAGAAGATGATGACGTATTTCGCCCCACTATTCAGGTCTACAATGATCCTCAGTTGCGCATGACCGCGTTTGAATATTTGAAGTTTCAAATCCAAACAATAATAACTGGCAATAATATATTCTGACTTGAAATAAATGGTGATTCAATGATATTCCTTCTTTTCTGATGGTCTCGACACCTCTCTTGATATTATCGACATAGTTTTCACTACCATGGTGAGGTAGAAATGCCATGTACAGGGTGTTCGCGGGGATATCTCCCGCCTATAATTTTATATCGTCCGGTGATTGATGTGTGTGGGAGTATAGGGGAAGATACACAAAAAAGGGTGATCTTCCGGTGAGATGTGGCAAGGACAGCCCCTTCGATCTTCATAGGCACCATTTTGTCTGCAGCAGTCTACCAGCCTGGTCACAAAAAGTAAGCCGTGAGATCTGTTTCTTGAATAATTTCGAATTTGTCTAACATTCGATTTTCCATTACTTAGTGTTGGGATTAATTAGGAAAAGATCTCAAATTTGGGATATCCATTATCATCGCTGGGATGATGGGATTCCTGTTGCCTCTATAGAGGGATTCTTCGTGGCTGAAATCCACGTGGCCGAGCCGACCTACATCACCACTTCTGGAACCCACACAACATCCAAGGTACTATACATTCTTTTAATCATCAGCTGCTATTTTCTTGTCATTCCTTGTGTTGGTAAAATAACGCACGATTGTCGTCATTCCATCTAGGGTTCCTTTTATCGGGCTAAAGCCTTCTCTCCCGTTCGTTGCATTCGAGATTTGGCACCCTTCAGCTCCCTGGGACTGCTGTACTGGAGTCTGCGCCGCTGCTGTAGCTCTGTTTTCGCCTGCTCTAGGAGCCTTTTTATTTGTGGCTGAAAGGCGACATACAGGAGACACCACCTGACGCTGCCTGACTTCACGTACCTGATCCCCCTGTACACCAGAGCCAGATGATACACATCAGGACCTGCTCATAATTTGGTGAGTTCGTTCCATGCACCACCAGGGATAGTATTTTACTTGGGATAAACTACCACCAACCATAATTCATCAGTTTTAAATTTCATTCAACATAATATAATTGCAACATGTCATTGATTTAATAGACACTCAGTATAGCTACAAAATATACCCCTGTAAACCAAAAGTGCACTGCGGTAAAATAGGCCTTATTATTTCTTTTGTCTCATTGATACTGATTTACTGAGTTATTTTGTTGACTAATAAGCTATATATTATCATACTGTCTCAGAGAGTTGATTTTGAGCAGCGATTGTATTATTTTACACTGATCTGAAGAGTTGATTTCAGTCAGTCAATTTATATTTCTTGTTGTTGCAATAATTGTACACTGTTTAGGTAATATTGTTATTGATACTCAGTTACTTTGGAAGTCTTGAGCCAACTATAGTATCATTTGGAGCACATTATTTGTCATTTCAGAATTTACTTGTGATTAAAAGCATATTCATCCCTATCAAACTTAGTATTTTACTAAGCCTAACGTACCCACCCATTTGTCCCGCTGAACTACCAGTGTCTAGTTTCTACGGTATCAAACTGGGCACTAAAAACACTTTTTCTGTTGTCAATACATTTGAGATTTAAAACACCTAATAAATCTTAGGTAATTCATCAACCAAACTCAGGGGTAAATAAAATTCTATTCCATTTTTCTCACTACTCACCCCCCTGAGATTTAAAGGCATAACAAAGTAGCATTTTTCCGGCCTAGTCCGGGAAGTATCACATCGTTGTTGTCACTGTAACTATGAAAATCTTGGTAGATATGGTTTTGATAAATGCAAATGACAATTACTGTTAGAAATAACTATTGACACCATTTAGTTTACTCGTTATTATAATTCATTTTCCAAATCTTGTTGAAATTCAAATCGATCACTCAGTACAAAGATAGACATTGATAGACATTGTCAAAAAAAAACTATAATTCAAATTGTCAGAAATTAATCATTTGATGATACATTATTCTGAATATATTCTAAGAGATAATAGCTTGGACATCAATCGTAAGTCACTCTAATTA